GGCTGGGAAGGTGAAAAACACCTGACGTGTATCCCACAAAAACATGAAGACCACACGGAGAAAACTCATGAAATGAATACATTCAAAGTTAACTGTGCACAATCATACTGACAATACCATACAAACAAACATAAAGATTTATGAACAGTAGGCCTATTCGCTACCTCAGAAATACAAAGTTCTATCTGACATTTTTGGCCGTTTTGAGTTACTAAATCCATGAGGTCAAAATCCAAATGTTCTTTCTTCTCTATCAAAATGACAAGATTTTTCAGAGCCGTCATCAGGATATTCAAAGAAGGACATTCCAAAAAGCTTGACATGTTACGAAATTCAGCATTTTTAAAGTTAGGTTTTTCAAAACTAGGTAGGCCTACTGAACGGAGAGAAATGTGTAATTTTAAGGTAGCAAATTAAAGAAAAAGTTCCCCTGGCTTACAATGTACAGAAGCAAACACTATACTGAGCCTAGGGCACTGGTTAAGATTTACCATCCTGCCGCCATGTTGATTTGTTCACATCAGCAACCTGATGACCTTTAGGTATGACAGGTCAGATTTTTGATTTTATAGATCTCGATCTACATTTTAAAGCTTGATTAGAATTCTCGTTCCGACTGGCAAACTATAAGTTTTAGCGCGCACTTTCGGGGCGGCAATCAGTTGCAGTTCGATTCTCGCTGTTAGAAGAAGTCTGGAGCTCTCGTGGCCTAAAGGTTAAGGTGTTCGCCTCTCATTCAAAGGTCCCGGGTTCGAATCCGGGTAGCGACCCAAAAAATTTCTTCTCTAAATTTGTCTCCTTTCACCTCCTTTCCTACTCTCTAGCAATGTTCTGTCGTCTGCTTTCGTCTCCTCTTTCAGCCCCCCACCCCTTCACCTCCTTTGCCCCCCTCCCCTGGGTTCCTGACTCTTTCTGCAGCCTTTCTACTGCTACTCATTGGCTTCTTCTTACTGCTGTCTTTCAGCCACACCCCTGATCTTCTGGTAGGAAAGATCTACACCTAGCCTTCTCGGACAAGGGCGAAAAATCTCGGAGGTCAGGTGTGCAAGTTGCGTTCGTTAAAGATCCCTTGGCGGTCTAAAATCGATAAGACTAGGTTTCAGCCGCCACCCAGGCAAAATTCAAAATTTCCTACCAACTGAAAAATTTTAATGTGTCCCGCGTGCTCATATGCCCTTATGCAGTTGCGATCGCCGTAAAACACTTACCAAAAAAAAAAAATTATAAGTTTTCATGTATATTATTATGTATTGCTCATCATTTTCTTGCGGTGCACCTCATTCGGGTTGCCCACGCCAGAGGGATCGGGTGTGTGTGT